ACACTGGGCTGAGCCCAGGCTGTGGGGAGGAGGTAAGAGTCCGGGCAGCGGCCCCGCGAGTTACACGCTCAGCTGGGTGTGCGTGCATCACACACAAGTGGCCAGACACAGAGCAGAGGGTGATGGGGCGTGGCCCGGTGAGGGACGCTCACAGAGGAGACGCTGGCCCGGCACACTCAGCACCACACAGAGCGTGGCGTGTGATGGGGCAGGGAGGACTTGGCCCGGGGGCTTCACACTCGAAGCTGAACACCCAGCCCCACATGGACAGAACTGGCCGAGAGCCCCGCGGGGCCGGCGTGGACAGTGATCCAGAATGGGCAGGCAAGAGAGAAAGCTCTGGTGCCAGGCTGAGCCCATGCACAGAGCGGCATCATCCAGCACTGTGCCACCCGCCTAAACTGCCCAGTTGCTCAAATCTGTCAAGACCCCGCCCACTCCGTGTCCTTCCCGGGACCAAGCCCTGTCCCCAAGCTCCCTGCAAGGCTGTCGGGCCAGACTGCAATGTTATAAGTTCACGTGTGTGTGCACATGCACGTGTGCATATATTTTCACACGCCTGGGAGGTCCCCCTTCCACTGGGGGAAATGGAGATTGGGGCCCACCTGTATCCACCTCTCTGGGGTCCTGTGTCCAATTCCTGCTTACCATCTGGAACCCAGCTGGGCCCACAGAGGAGGCCACATTGCAGGTGCGGGTCGTCTGCGCAAAGGCGCATGGGGAGTCAAGACCCAGAGAGGCTGGCGGGCTGTGGAGGGGCGTGGAGGAGAGCAGGGGCCGTGTGTGCTACTCCCCGCAGGTGCGAGCCGAGATGGGCCTGGTCCTCCAGGGATGCCTGCTCCTGTGGAGTCTCCGAGGCGCACTCACCCAGGCCGCCCATGCCGGGATCACGGCCAGGGTCACTCAGCGGGCGCTGGACTATGGTGAGTGGGGCTCAGAAGCCCAGCTGTGGCTCCCGGGAAGGCCGAGCTCAGGACTTGGGCAGACTGGGGACTGGGACAGATGCTACTACAGGACTTCCGAGGTGGCTGGGGAGAAAGTGTTGCTGAAACATCTACCCAGGGGAGGCGTACCCCAACAGGGCTCCTGAACCCCCTGCCGTCTACCCACACACGGTGACATCACAGGGCTCCAGGTGAGGGTGCACTAGAGGGTGTCAGATGGGAACTTTGGGGCAATGTCCACTCATTTCAAGCTTCTGAAAGGGCTGGATTTCCAAGGGGGCTTGGAACCCTCTGGAGCGGTGTGAGTTTCACTGTAAATGGTGTGGTGCGTGTTACTAAACTCAGGTGGGCCAAGAGCCCCCTGGGCACCGTGGGCTGCAGGCCCACAAGCAGGTGGAAAGAAAGACAAAGGTGGAATCCCTTTCTGGGATCGGGCGGGGCAGGCAGATTCCGGAGCCAGACTGCTTGGATTTGAGGTGAGACCCTCTCATTCTCAGCCGCACGGCCCCCTACAGTGTGCTTGACTTTGAAGGTCCCTGCAGCTTCCCTGCACGCTGTTGCCAGCCCTGGCCACACAAGGAAGCTCCTGGTGACGCTGGCTCTGTGAGGACTCACGTCTCCTTGTGCGGAGGGGAAACAATCGCCCCCACTGGGCCCCTGCTGCGCTCTTCTGTGACCACGCACCGTCCTCGAGGCCGTGCACTTGTGTGGTCTTCGCTGTTACCCCCAAACCTTTGCCTGTTTCCCTCTCAGGTGTCCAAGCTGGGATGGAGATGATGGAACAAATTATAAAAGAAAAGCACATCCCAGATTTAAAAGGCTCTGAGACGCTCGAATTCCTGAAGATCGATTATGTGAACTACAATTTTTCAAAGTAAGTAAAAGAGCCCTCTTCCTTCCACGTGGGAGGCTCCGGGGGAACACCAGATGTCTATTCTCATGACTGCCTCATGGCCCAACGTGGCTGCTGTAGTTACAGTCCTCAGATCCATGTTTCGTGCAGCTGGGAAGAGGAAGTGCAAGGGTAAAAGGGCTCTTCACAGCTGAGTGAGTGTC